AGGAGGAGGAGGAGGAGGAGGAGGAGGGGGAGGAGGAGGAGGTGGAGGAGGGGGACCTCTTTCTGGGCGCCGCTCAGACCTGGTCCGCGCGCGGGGGCCGCGGCGGCGCGGGCGCCGGCAGCGCTGCGGAGAGCTCCTCCTCGCGAGGCCGCGGCGAGGCGCGCCTCTTGGGCGCAGGGCCTCTGGGGAAGCAGACATTACACCAAAGGACAACCCCAACCCATGGATGGTTTGAAATGGGATCGATGCAAAGATCGATGGGGAGATCAACCAGGAATAAGGGAACCCGGAACCAATCGAAATCGGCCCGGAACCAATGACCAAGAGCCCGGGAAACCGGAACCGGGAACCCGGGAACCCAGCCCGCTACCATAATCGGCAGGGAACTTTGGCCAACTCTTTCAATTACACAAAAAAAAACCCTCGCTGAGGAGATCGACCGGGAACCCGGGAGCCCAGGAACCCAAAACCTACCGAAACCGGCCCGGGACCAATAACCGGGAACCCAGGAACCCGGAACCGGGAACCTGGGAACCCAGCTTGCTACCAAAATCGGCGGGAAACTTTCGCTGAATCTTTCAACTTCCGCTAAGACCCATTCAGTGCCAGCACTGATTGGGGAATATCCGCCGGGACCCCTTCAGTGCAAGCGCTGATTGGGAAAGCAAAAATTACCGATGCGGCAAAACTCCGAAGACTCAGGGCTCAGTGAAGGGGTCAGTGGGGCGCAGAAGGACATGCCAGTGCTGCGTGTCCTCCTCGGGGGCGTGCGTCCTACCCGATCATGCAGTACAGCCATGTGGTAGTCAGAGAGAAGGGGCCGAACGGTCATTCACTGTCCCTGCGCGCGTTTGCTGAAGTGAGGTTCCGCGGTGCGGATTGTTGTTGTTATTGTTGTTAAACTCTCACCACTGAGGATAATGATTGTTGATCCGACCCTGCGGGGCACATGGTGTGTTCCATTGAAGTGCCCTTGCCAGGGCTCTCACCCTGCATGTTATCAGGAACAGTCGTGGGTCTCAAAATTGTGTCTGTGGTCCCTGGTTTACAACAACAGCGGCTCCCGCCTGATACGTCCTCAAACTGTCTTCCCAAATCCCGCCATCGCGATTTCCTCACAATGTATGCAGATATCGTGCTCTCGCGTGGGACGTCCTGACAATTTATTCAGACAGCTCGCCCTCGGCACTCAGGAATCACGCTCTCGTTGTGGATTTCCTCACGATTTATTTGGGAATCGCGCTGTCGCTCGAAAGTTCCTGTCGATTCGTGCAGGACGCACACTTCAGCAACCCGCCTGCTCGACCCGGCCGCCTGGGCCCGCCTTCCCGACCCGCCTGTTATGGCTCTGCAGGATCCAGCAGGATCTGGCGCCCTGGCTGACTCCTGTTTGCATTGATGCATTGACTCGGCGCCGCACCGACGTACCAATGCTATGTTTGCGTCGCCCCTTTCAAGTGCGACGCGCGCGGCGAGAAATCTTATAGCGCATGCTCCACGACGGGCGCTGTCTGACCGTACCGCTCGGAAGACGCTATACGTATCACCCCGCAGTTGCGGATGAGAGAGGGTGCGGTGGGGACGCCGGCAGTCTGCCAAGCTCTGAAGAAGCACGCCGCAGGCGCTGATTTCTTACAAATCATACAACGAGCCCGCCGCAGGCGCCACTCTTTTCGTGAAAGCAATGCGGGTGGATCGCGGTTGGGCCCTGGGTGGGTCGCGGGTACGTCGCTGGCCTGGTCGCGGATGGGTCGCGGGTGGGTCGTGGGCGAGTGGCGGGCGGGTCGCGGGCAGGTTTCGGGTCAGCAGGTTCCGACAGAAGCCGAAACTGAATTGGTGCGAAAAGCTGCCCGCGAACTGACATGCTACACTGCACAGCACGCTGCTGGCGCACAAAGGATTGACACGCAGAGACTGGCACGCCTCGTTTACGTTGATCGCCTCGACAGACCTCTTCTGGAGTGCTCCCGACGCGCCCGGGGCCCGGAGGCATCCTGCCGCACGACTCACTCGGCCACAGAATGGCCCAAAGAAGGGCCAGACGGTCCAGGAGGGCCTCGAGTCGCCGAGCGAACCGTCCACGGCACGGTGGCGGAGTGGGCCGAAGGCCAATCGATCGACAGGCATTCGGTTGGTTTGATCTCTTGGAAGGTTCTGAGTCCAAGACGGCCCAAGATGCACCCAAGACGGCATCAGATGGACTCAACATGACCCAAGCTGGCCGAAGAGGCCCCCCCTTACAAGAGGACCCCAAGACGAAGACGGCCCGAGGGTCCTCCAGCCGCAGAACTTCCGGAAGCCCGATTCCGAAACCGACGGCCCGGTGTCCGCCGGTTTCGGATTCGCCTCCTGCGCCACCGCGCGCGCGTTCAAACCCGCCAGATTGCGCGGCGCCGGTGGTCGGGCCTCCTGCGCCTCGGCCGAGACCACCTGCAGCTTGACGCCACCGCCCGTTATGATTTGGGCAGCTTGACGCACTCCAGCTCGGCCACAACCCCTGGCCCCACCTGGAAGTCGCCCCCGTTGGCAACGCCATCGCGCCGCCGAGCTGGCATCCCTGAACTCGCATGTTCTGCGTGAGTCCAGGCCACTCGACTGCTCTGCTATGGGCCGATGCACACGATCGTTGATACCATTTGTAAGATATAGTTTTCCAGCTGGCTGCCACTGTGGCCGTTCCCTCCATTTGTGCCAACGCCCCATTCGCATCTCCAAGTTGTTTTTGGAATTCGTCCACCACCAAATTGGCGCTGGCTGTTTTCTGCTCTATCACGGGCCTTTTTTGTGGCGATGGCGAGATGGTGCGCGCGTGGTTTGGTATGGCCCTCTTCTTTGCGAGCGATCTGGTGCTGTCTTACGCCAACGTGTGCTCCGTCGTGTCTTCTTCCCACATGTGCTTGCAGGCTTGCGCCCACGAGTAAGACTTGTCGAGGTCGGCCACCAGGGTCTCGTCAGTTTTTATGTCGCGCATACATCCCTTAGCTATGGCAGCCTGGAACTCATTGCGCATGGCGTCCGTTTGTCTTCGTGACGGCCGGCTTTCGCTTCGTCGGGCATTCGAATGTATGCTTGAACGTCTGGGTGTGCCCTGGTGCTGCGGCTTCACATCCACGGCACCACTTCCGCCAGGCGAAATTGTCCGTGGTGCACACACCTCCAAGCTCCTCCGTTCCCTTGGCCCTCACGCTGTCCTGCACCTGCCGTCACACCTGCTGCAAGCAAGCGCCCGCGCCCGCGCGGGGGACGGCCGTGAGGATCTGCCGCGGATATGCGGTACCCGTTCCAACACGGAGGGCGCTGAAAGCCCCCAGTGTGGACATTTGAACTAGAATGGCGACGGAGGAAGCCCAAGAGGCCTCCAAGAGGCATCCAGCCCACGAGGCCCCAAGTGTGCCCCAGTATGCTCCCAAGAGGCCCCTTCCCCCCTCCTCCTCCTCCTCCTCCTCCTCCTCCTCCTCCTCCTCCTCCTCCTCCCTCCTCCTCCTCCTCTCCCCCTCCTCCTCCTCCTCCTCCTCCTCCTCCTCCTCCCCCCCCCCCACGTGGTCCCCGAAAGGCTTCCACAGCGGCTGGGGGGAACAAACAGCTCGTCCGATAGCTTGGCCGAGATCTGGCCGCAGCGCTCTGCCGCACGGGCGAAGACCCCTGCTGGGGCGCGTCCTGGCCCGAACGTCAAGGAGACTCCCCGCCGTGGCCGCGAGGGCGCTCTCCAGGACGAGCCGCGGCATCCCCAGACGTGCGCCGTCCTGGCTTTTTCAGCACGGGTTCCCCAGAAGTCCCGACCCATTCCCGGCGACCCGTGTCTCAGATCGGGGAGATGCAGCACTCGGGTAATTACGGGGGCCTCGGGTTGGCCGGACGAGGCCATCATAAAAAATTGCGAGGCCCAATCTGAAACTTGACGCGAACCCCCGCTGCAAACATCCCACGAACGACCGTCAAAATCCAGGACGCGCTCGTCAAAAAGCATCGGCAAAACCTAAATCCCGGCTTTCTCGAGTCTTACGGTCTCACGGTTTTCACGATCATGCCGAGTCGTTTTGTGGACGGTCCCCAGGCCCTGCGAGGGCCCCAGGAGGCCGGCAAGGGCCACCAAGACCCCCGTCGTTGGGGAAACCAGCATGTACCAGTACCGCTACTCCCCGGACCTCTCCCAGGGTGCGTTCTGACCAGGATTTGGAGGCGAATCCAGCAGACGGGGGCCTCCCATGAGGCCCAAAAAGGGAAACCGAGGCCAGGGTAGCAGTATGGGTGCGTACCTTTTTTCCCCCTCTGAGTCGTGATCTTCGCAGGGCGCGAACGTGTCTGGGTCTCCAGGACGCGGCAGCGGCATCGGCGCCTTTTCTGATTGATCGAAAAAGAACCCCTAACCCTTTGGGAGGCGACCCAAGATCGAAGGGCCAAAAAGATCAGTGATAGGGGGGTCGCTCCTGCAGATGTATCGGACCAAGCCGCCCAAATGCGGCATCTCTACTGCGAACACGGGGACCTCGGTGCGGCCGCGCCTGCATCGTGTTCTCAGGGTCAGGGGCTCTCTGGCGCTCGATGATATTCTTAAAAACAGGGCTAGGATCGGGATAAATCGCTCCAGAGCGTTCCGGAGCGCTCTCAGAGCGTCCCGGAACGCTCCGGAGCGGCCGCGGCGCCCGATACATCCCCCAAACCCGCAGATTCCCCCAGAGATTTCGAGCTATCCCGATCCGATGTTGTCCCGATCTTCGCGTCGTCCGCCCCCCGGCCGTCCGCCCGGGCCGCCCCCCGCAGGCGGTGATGTCCCGGCAATCGTTGCAGCACCCTTCAGATCGGTGGCGCGCCCAGGGGGGGGAAGCGAGGAGGGGCGGGCCTTCTCGGAAGGCCTGAAAGTCCACTGGCCCTCGCAGAAGTTCCCTTCGCCGATCCGATTTTATTCCTCCCCCCGGGCCGCCCGCGGCCGCGCCCGCGGCCCGCACGCCCACGGCGCGGGGCCCCGCCGCGGGGGCCGCCCGCGGGCCGCCCGCGGCGTCGATAGACGCCCAGCCGCCGATGACGCCGGCCAGGTAGGCGCCCCGCGGCGCGGGCGCGGCGGCGGCGGCCTCCGCGGAGGCGCGGGCGGGCTGCGGCCGCCGCGCGCTCAGGCGCGCGGCCGCCGGCGCGGGCGCCATCCTGCCGTCCAGGGGCGGCAGGGAGCAAGAGGGGGAGCAGCCCAACCTTCCTCCTCCTCCTCCGCCTCCGGCTCCCCCTCGGACCTCGGACCTCGGACCTCGGTCCTCGCGGCTCGATCCTAGATCCTCGGCCTCGGCCTGCTGCTCCCTCCTCCTCGATCCTCGATCCTCCTCCTGTCGCTGTCGCTCGTGTCGCTGTCGGTGCCTCCATCGATGCCGATCAAGACGTTGCCACTCCTCCTCCTCCTGCTCCGTTGCACTCCTCCTCCTCCTCCTCCTCCTCCTCCTCCTCCTCCTCCTCCTCCTCCTCGACGGCCAGACTTCTTCAGCTCAGCTGCCCACGGACCACTCGATACATTCGCCAGGTCGGACCTGGTACTCTCCCCCTGGAATCCGAAGGAGGAGGAGGAAGAGGAGGGAGGAGGAAGAGGAGGGAGGAGGGAGGGAGGGGGGAGGGGGGAGGGGGGAGGAGGGAGGAGGGAGGAGGGAGGAGGGAGGAGGAGGGAGGAGGGGGAGAAGGAGGAGGAGGAGGAAGAGGAAAAGGAGGAGGAGGAGGAGGAGCAACGAAGAGGAATGAGGAGGAGGAGGAGGAGGAGGAGGAGGAGAAGGAGGAGGAGGAATCATAGAAAAATAAAACAACTTCTGGCGCGACCTGTTTCGAGTCGCCAAGAAGGTCTGGTTGTTCCGCCTCGGAAAAAGCCGCCAAACCTCTCAACAAGGGCACGTTCTCACAAGAAGTTCGACGGGAATCCAGCCGTTGAGACCAGGAATCCAGCGCAGCGATGGATGAGCGGCCTTCTCGAAGCACAGGTACAACGAACAACTCCTAAGGTCTGGATCCTCCCTGGTCTTTCCACTCAGATCCGATGTCTTGATTTTTGTCCGTGCGGGGTGGTCGCTGGAAGTCCAAGCCTTCTTCGCAACGCCGGCTTTTCGTCCCGAGTCGTTGTCGGCGGTGGACAAACCTCCCTTTAGTAAACCTCCCCTTCATGAAAACGGCCTGGGACCGAAACCGACGGACCTGGACCCGCAAAAGTGACGGCCGCGACGCCCTCTCGCGAACCGAAAACGGCCAATTCCTTAATCGACGTGTCAGGGTAGGAGATCTGTCCACCCCCGACGTTGTTATTACGGTCCAAGGGCCTGGAAAGAGCCCCCAGATGCCGCAAACGACGAAAGAGCACCGTCTCGCTCTTGGGTCGACTCGCCCTGGGTTTGAGCTTTCCCCACACCCCCGCCCCTCGGGACGGACGACAAGGAGCAGATGGCCAAAAGTAGGCGGCGAGCCAGAGGGGGAAGTGAGAAGGGGCGTGCCTTCTCAGAAGGCTCGGAAGTCCCCCGGACTCCTGAGAAGTTTTCGAACCCTTCCCCGAAGACAGAAACAACTTCTCAGAAGGCGCGAGGGCTTCTGAGAAGTCTCGCCGCCTTCTGAGAAGGCCTTCTCCTTCTCCATTCCCCCCCTCGCTCGCCGCCGAAAAAAAAGGGAATCAGCTCACGCACCTGGCTCTGAAGGCGCTTCCGGCGCTAGAGACGTCAGTGAATCGAGGAAAGCGCCAGGCGGCGGGGCGGAAGCCAGCTGCAGGCAGCAAATGCCGCCCCCCCTTTCCGAAAAGGGCACAAACGCATTGGATGCTCGTTCTGGGGACCTTCCTGGAGCCACTCGCTCCACTCGTGCGTCGAAGCTGCGTCGAACGCCAGTCGATTTGGGTCGACCCTGAGTCGAACCTGAGTCGAACCTGAGTCGAACCTGAGTCGAACTTGAGTCGAACTTGAGTCGAACTGGGGTCGATCAGATCCGTTAGGTGGGCTCCAGGAAGGTCCCCGAAACGAGCATCGAAAACGCATGACCCAGGCGGCCTGGGCGTAGGCTGGAGGCGCCCGTGGCCACGCGTCTTCGCGGCGCCCGGCTCCCGCCTGGCCTCCGCCTGCGCACTCGCAGCGCGAGACCTCCACCTCCTGCTCCTCCTCCTCCTCCTCCTCCTCCTCCTCCTCCTCCTCCTCCTCCTCCTGTGGACCGAAGAGGGCGGTCAGGAAAGAGGAGGGGGGGGGGGGGCACCGTGGCCCGCGGCAGGTGCGCGGACGAGGGGGGGGGGGTCAGGGCACGTGCTGAGAGAAGACCAGGGGGCAATGGAGTCTGGGAGAAATCGTGGCCCCGGCCATGACGTCCCCCTCCCCCCCTCCGACGCCTGGTGGTTTTCGGGCCACACCCTGCGAGATGCTTGAGAGATCATGGGTTGAGAAATTCATAGTCTCAGATCTTGAATAAAAAACCCAACATTTCTGTCAAAATCTCAGGAGTTACATTGACACAGTAAGAATCATCGAGACCCTGGCCGAAAAAACTGAAGTTCTCTCAAGCATCGCCCAAGGTGCACAGCTCGGACCCTCCGGCGGCGGAGCGGGACGACCCGGGGGCACTCCCCGGAAGAGCTCTCCAAGTCGGACCTGCACCTCTGCCGGAGGAAGGTTCAAACATAGTGTAAAACATGGTCTGGCGATGATGTTTTATCGGGGATGGACAGACCTCCTCCCTCCTCCTCCTCCTCCTCCCTCCCTCCTCCCTCCTCCCTCCTCCTCCTCCTCCTCCTCCTCCCTCCTCCTCCTCCTCCTCCTCCTCCTCTTCCTCCTCCTCCTCCTCCTCCTGCACCTCTGCCAGAGGAAGGTTCAAAAATAGTACAAAACATGGTCTGGCGATGGACTGCAAAGAGGATTGCAAAAAGGATTTCAAAAAAACCTTCAACGAAGGATTGCAAAAAACCTCCAGGGTTTGTTTGCAATCCTTCTTGGGTTTTTGTTGCAATCCTTCAATCCTTCGTTTTATCGGGGATGGACAGACCTCCCTTCAGTAGAACGTGGTCGAGTGAAAACGACTTCGGGCCCAAACCTGGCGGGCGCAAGCCTGGAAAATAATGACGGCCACGGCGCCCTCTCGAGCACCGAACACGGACAAGTCACTCATCGACGTGTCACTGCTGGGGGTTCTGTCCACCTCCGAGACCAGGGCCAAACGTGGTATCGGTGGCCGCGCGTGGCCGTCGTCCTGCCAGGTAGGGGAGGCCCCCAGAGGGAGGAGGAGGAGGAGGAGGAGGAGGAGGAGGAAGAGGAGGAGGAGGAGGAGGAGGAGGAGGAGGAGGAGGAGGAGGAGGAGGAGGAGGGAGGAGGGAGGAGGAGGAGGAGGAGGAGGAGGAGGAGGAGGAATATGTTTCTGAATATGTTTTGGGTATTTCTTAGTTTTCGTCCAACATCCGCCTGTAGGGGGACAGGCTCGACCCCAGCAGAGCTCCTTCGACGAGGCGAGCAGGACTGCAAGGCTCACAGCAGCTTCCTCACCCGCCCCTCTCGGGGGCGCGCAAGCATGGATTGGCGATCCTTGGATCTGGCGCGCGGTCGCCAAATCAATGGATCGGGGGAGCAACCCTCCCCAAAATGCGGCCGCTGCCGCCTCGTCCGGCAGCGGAAATCCGCGCGCCTGTGCGAATCGGCCCGCGCATCTGCGCGCGCCGCCTGTGCGCGCGCATGTGCGCTTCGCTTGTGACCCGGGTGCGCTTTCTGCGAGTTGTTCTTGCCTGTCTCTGCGCGACTGTGCGCGCCTCAGCGCTCCCTGCGTGGGCCACTGTGCGCGCTCCTGCGCGCGGTGCCACGCGGAAGCGGGACCCGTCGCCAGTCCACGCCCGCTCGATCCGTGCTCGCGATCGCCTGCCTCTCGGACGCCCCCGGAGAGACCGCGCCCCCTCCCTTGGACGCCCGCCCGCCCTCCCCCTCGGGGCGCCCCCGCTCGGATCGGGTGTTGCCAAATCGGGAGACGAACCCCACCCTCCCCCATCGGGGCGCCCCCGCGCGGATCGGGTGTTGCCGAACTCTATACACCGACGTTTTTGTCTGACCCTGCGCTGAAATTCGCACAAGAACGCGCATCCTGGTGTATACGTGATCCTGGTGCATACTTTCTTCGTTGCTTCCCGTGGAAAACGGGGGAAAGGTATACACCACACCACCCCGACGTCGTCCCCGACCCTCAAAAAGTCGCGGGATTGAAAAACAACCCGCCAACGGTAATGCATGTGTTCCAGTTTCCGACCAAAGGCGTCCCTGGCCCAAGGTGTCCCCAAGATTTCTCGGGCGGCCCTCACCGCCTCTGGGGCACCTCCTCACGAGGCCCAGAGGGCGCCGGAGGCTCCAAAGTTCAGCGCGAGCCGGACGCATAAGCAGAAGGCGCGGTAAGGATGCCAGGGGCCTCGGGAGGCCACGTCGGCTGTTTGCGAGCGGGGCGCGTCCGGCGCAAGCGGCCAAGGATTGGCCGAAGCGGCAAGGGTGCCAGGGCGCTTGACTGCGCGTTGTCTGTCATGATGGGGACGCCGGAATCCGCGCGGACCTCCGAAAATGGTCGCTGATGTCTTGCAGTGTTCTAAGAGGGAGGAGGAGGAGGAGGAGGAGGAGGAGGAGGAGGAGGAGGAGGAGGAGGAGGAGGAGGAGGAGGAGGAGAGAGAGGAGGAGGAGGAGGAGGAGGAGGAGGAGGGGGGGGGAGGGGAGGGGGAGGGAGGGAGCAGGAGAAGGAGCAGGAGGAGGAGGAGGAGGAGGAGGAGGAGGAGGGAGCAGGAGGAGGAGGAGGAGGAGGAGGACGCCTTGAGCCGAGACCGTTCGGGGGTCGATGCGAGGGAGGAGGAGGAGGAGGAGGAGGAGGAGGAGGAGGAGAGGAGAAGGGGAGGAGGGAGGAGGAGAGGAGGAGGGAGCAGGAGGAGGAGAAGGAGGAGGCGGAGGAGGAGGAGGAGGAGCAGGAGGAGGAGGAGGAGGAGGAGGAGGACGCCTTGAGCCGAGACCGTTCGAGAACACACCCGAGCGGAGCCACCGTCGGCGCCGCCCCC